GCTGATGGGTGATTTAAGTCTTTCCAGCATGAAGTTTAACTTGACTCTCCTTATGCTTACTAAGAAACGGACAAAGAAGGTGAGACTTCCCTGCTACTGTCAGAAGCTCTGAGCATGGAAGTACAGTTGTGCAAATGATATGTGCTGTCTTGTGGCCTGCCTGTTGTATGCTCTGATGCCCTGATGGTGCAATTGATCATGCAACCAATTGCACAACTGGCTGCAAAAAGAAGAGCCCACAAGCATGTAAAAACTACCTGCACAATTGTCCTTCTGCACAGAGTGCAGTGTGGGGTTGGACCCTGAGAGATTCCCCAGAAACGGAGGCCTGTCATGGGTGCCTTCTTCAGCCTATGTCTCTATACTTCTGCAGAACCTTGGCATGCATGTAGGAGTGCTTGTTCTATCTACTCCAGTCAAATCCAGGTTAGACTGTCTTTCATCTCTATTGCAAGCCCTCTCTGTTGTGTCACATTTATAGCTGTGGCTCATATTTTTGGTGATTGATCAGCAAGCCATTCTAGATAGAGATTGACTCATTAGAGAGGAAGATGAAACTTTGGAGAAGAAGGAAATGTCTTCTGAAAGAAGTGTCAGGGAACTGTTCTGGCTCTTTCCAAATCCAGTTGCAATCAGAGAGGAGAAAAATATGTTCACTCTCCTGCTGTAATGAAGAGTTGTGCAGTTCAGGGTTTACCTCCTCCTTCCTCCTCCTCCGGAATGCTCCATTTCCGGATATCCCCCTTTTTGAGGAGAGGAATTGCTGTGAGGGATGAAAGCAAGTCTACAGTTCTGACAGCTGGGCAATTTCATGCCATGAGGAGCTGTGGAAGTCTTTGAAAAGGGTATTAACTGTTTCATTGTTGCCAAAAATACCAGGCTCTGCACCTGGGACAAAATGTGAGTCCTTGGCTATCCTGCATAGCCCTTGTTAAATTTATCACTGCATGGCTAACATGTTGATTATTGCAGCAGAATACCCAGTCAAGGAGGATTCGTTAATAAAATGTGACTATAGTTATATATAAAACTCCTGCCAACCTAGCAGTTCGAAAGCATTCAAATGCGAGTAGATAAATGGGGACCACCTCAGTGGGAAGGTAACAGCATTCCATGTCTAAGTCGCACTGGCCATGTGACCATGGAAAATGTCTACAGACAAACGCTGGCTCTACGGCTTGGAGATGGGGGTGAGCACCGCCCTCTAGAGGCGGACATGAGTGGACTAAATATCAAGGGGAACCTTTACCTTTATAGTTATAAATCTCTCTCTCTCTCTCTCTCTGTCTGTCTTGGCTATAAGGTCTCTATGTCTATTGCTGACTACACAATGTTCTTAAGAACTATTGCCTTTTCTAGACAGAGCATTTGTTCTCCTCATTGTACTTGGTTCTGCACTGACGCTGTAGTGTTTCTCTCCATCCATACAAGGTACTTATCATCTCACTTAATACAGTGCCTTTCTTCAAGGCTTTTTGTATCTTTTCATCCCTCCTGAAAGTATGGTTTATTTTTATTATCACTTTGTTCTAGGAATGAGGTAGTGGTGGAATGTAGCCCTGTGGCACTCATCATTTGAAATCATGAGCACCTCCCATCAGAAGCTTTCAGTTAACACTCAAAACAATCAAACAAAATATACAGAACAGAAGCTCTAGTAGAGAAGTGGATTTCTTATTTTTTTTTTAAAAAAAGAAGATTGTTTAAAGATTTCTTAAACAGAAATGCTTTTCTTAAAAAGAAGAGATGTGCCCTTTAAAAGTTAAACTACCCACTCATTTTGTGACTCCAAGGCTGGAAAAGAGGGGTGGAACGTTTACTCCAATTGGAAGACCCCTATAATAATAAATGTGATGAGCTTGTGCTTCTAATTAAAGATCTTCTGGGGCTCACAGGTCTACCCAACTTCAGCAAAAGACTACTATACTCTTTCTTAGCATTTAGGCTGGTTGAAGGCTAAAGGCATTAACATGGGGTGAGATGACCCCTAGACCCTTCCAGATCAAAACACACATTTTATTTAACCAGGTCTAGTATTTAACAAACATAAAATCACACCCCCAAAAGGTTAAGAAGCCAAATTTTGCTTTTAACTTAAAATACTTCCCTCCATGACATAAAAGTTTATAGTTTATTTTGCTACTGGAAAGCCCACAGCAAGAAGCCGTTAGAACTCAAGAGGCCTCCTCTGTCTTCCTTGGCAAAAGGTGCGGAGGGACGGGAAGAGTCAGAGAGCATGGCTTTCACTCATTCCAGACTGAAAACAACATAAGAACAGGCTCCTCTGTGTACTTACAGGAAAACCTGGTTGAGAACTAGCTTGCAAACTTGCTGTAGATCCAAAATGTAGGACAACAGGTCAGAAGAACTGTTCTTTCCCATGGAGACCCTGAATAATCAAGAGGGAGACCTAAAGCTCGGGAGCTCTAGAGACAAGTCCTTATTCCCAGTGCAAACCACAGAGGTAAATAGGGTCAAAGTCCATACTACCCAAAGCAAAAAAAAAAAAAAAAAAAAACACCAAAATGTGCCCCTCTCCCT